CGTGTCTCACCGCGGGTAGGGGGCGGGGCAAGCAAGCCACCTCCGTCTTTTCTGGCCTCTCCACCGCGCCGCTGGGGGGCGGCACCCCGTTCACCGAATCCGCTTGTTTCAGGAAACGATGGCCGACGCTATCGATTCTCCAGCCAATCCCAGCACGTCTTGACCCATCCCTCTCTCTTATTGGGTAAACAGGAGGGCAGCCTGGCGGATGTTGTCGTTTCTGCGAGGGCCAAAGCCGGCAAGATGGCGTCGAGCGGCGGGGAGCTCGGCAGCTTATTCGACCACCACCTCCAAAGGGCTGTTTGCGACACGCGGGCCAAGTATCGGGAGGGGCGACGGCCTCGTGCCGTGAGGGTAAAGTGATTTGGGTTTCATTTGTTATTCTCGGTAGTTTTATGTGAGTTCTCACGCCACACGCCCAGCCTGTGTAGATAAAGGCTTGAAAGGCTGCTGGCAGATCCGTCACTCGTTGCAGTTGGTGGAGGAACCCTGCTAATCAGGTACCAAAGACTCTCAGGGCCCCTTTGGTCAACTGCGAGGACATCAGCTCTGCGACAGGGCTTTGTTTTAATCATAGTGTCTTCCGTGTTTACGGTACTGCTGGGCCCATGGTAAGAATTCAGTGTTTAACGCTTTCCAATAACTTCAACCGAGCCAACTTCTGAAACACGTGTCAATCGAAGGTAGTCTGTCTTTTATGCTTTAGTTGAGTGAAATCACGTGGGGTGAATTCTTTATCAGAGAGAAGGGCCAATTTTTTTATTTTCTATTTTCTGCAAACCGGTTGGAGAATACTGTTTTCAAAGCTTTGGGATATTTTTTAAAGCAGGTTTGTCTTAGGCTTATTAATGAAATATGTTTAACTTTTTTCCATTTCTTTTAGGTATATACAATTAATTTGGAATCTCGGTACTTAATAATACAAGGAGTTCCTGCAGTGGGAGCAATGAAGGAATTAGTTGAGCGGTTTGCTTTATATGGTGCAATTGAGCAGTATAATGCTTTAGATGAATACCCAGCAGAAGACTTTACAGAAGTTTATCTTATTAAATTTATGAATTTACAAAGTGCAAGGTAATGTGCAAGTTAAGCACTGTCTTATCTCCTCCATTCCCATTGCTATTATTTTGGCCCCAGGTTTCCCCCACTCATACCTGAATTACCCAATAACCTAACAAGGCCCTGTGTTGTTCCTGTCTTCCTCCAGTCTTTTTAAATGTTAGCCTTACCAGAACACTTTCGATCACATTGTTCTCATGCTTAACAGTTTTGTCATGTAGATTAAAAATTGGGTTTAGATTAAGTTTTCCAGTTCCACTGCTTACTAATATCATGACGTTAGACAAGTTATTAAATCCTATGAAGCCTGTTTTTCCTGTTCTATAAAATTATTATAATAATAGGATCTGTTTATTGAGGTTGTGTGAGGATGAAATGAGGTAATCCATGTAAAGGGCATAGCATAACACCTCCTGTCCAGAATGCAGTAAACATTAGCTATTGGGGTTCTTATTGTTGTGCACCTGTGTGAATTGACCCCATCTCTTCCAGCCTTCTATATAACAGACTCTGCTCCAAAAAGGCTGAAATGTGAAATGCCTTCTCTATTTTTATGTGACCCCTACTAATTTGTTCCAAGACCCATCTGTCCCTGGTTATTATAATTCATATTTTCTTTTCGGTGCCACAAATAGCATTTGTCTGCCATAAAGCACATATTTTATGGGGTCAGGTTGCTCTTATATGTAATTTCACTTCCCTATAACCAACTTGCCAGCTCCTCGTGGTTGGGTAAGGCTATTTTCCACAGTTTTGATGTTTCCCATAGCGCCTAGTACAGTAGCCTTGGAGTTCGACATCTGGATTTGAATCCTGGCTCCACTAACCAATGTGAGCATGGCCAAGTTCTAAATCTCTCCAGGCCTTACTTTATCATAGGGTTGTTGTGAAGTGTTAATTCAAATGAAGCACTTAGGACACTGCCTGGCACGTGGTAAAATCTCAATCAGTATTTCTTACTATCCCTGGGCACAGAAGTACTTAAATATTGATTGTAGTAATGCCTGACCAGTTACAGATGTTTAATAAGTGGTGAATGATACCATCCTCTCATTGATTAGTTGTTACATATTCAGTATTTCCTCAATTATTGGTTTTACAATTATATTTTTATTAACTTTTTATATATGAATCCCGTTATAGGAACACATTGTATTGAAAGGCTAAATTGGATATGAGCTAATTCTCAAGGGCCATTTAACTCCACACAGAGAAAATCTCTATTTTATGACCACGGATTGTGTACCTTAGGCTACCCAAATTGGTTAAAGGGAGTCTAGATATGTGTGGATGACTTAGCTCAAACCCCATTAACGCTGTTGGGAGAGGGGAGGAAAGGCTCTCAGAGTATGCACTGGATCAATAAAGTCAATTCCATCCATAAGCACATTATCTTAATTTCCAAACCATAGGATGTACACACACATAGCAAAAACTGGACTTTGCTCTTTAGATCAATGCATTGTATACTAGTCAAGATTTTATCCTAAGTAAATCTAAATTAATAAACCATGCTATCATGTATTTCTGTTTAGGGTAGCCAAGAGAAAAATGGATGAACAGAGTTTCTTTGGTGGATTGCTTCATGTGTGCTATGCTCCAGAATTTGAGACAGTTGAAGAAACTAGAAAAAAATTACGAGAGAGGAAGGCTTATATAGCAAGAGCTACTAAAGATAAAGGTATGGAAGGCCTATTACTAAACACCTATGTATCAGGCATTCTGCTAGGTATAGCATCATGGAACTCTCAAAGTCTAGTGGGAAGAGTAGCAAGTAATTGTTCAGAATATTCAATAACTATAACAGGGTTCTTTTTAGCACTCAGTGTAATCGGGGCTGGGAAGAGAGAGATGTTGGTTTGTGGAAGACTTTCTACAGGATGAGAGAGGTGGCAGAGTTTTAAAGGGTAAGTAGACATTACTCTAAAGGGGAGAGGAAGAAATGGAAAGGTGGGCCAGGTGGCATGTTTAAAAGCCCAGAGGAATAAATGAACATCGTGCATCTTAAGAAACTGTGAGTAGTACAGGTTAACCACACAAAGAGGCTTCAATGAGGAGTAACAGAAAAGTAGATAAGAAGTGAATTGTGAAGGGCCTTGTGTGTCCTGTGCTAAAGAATTAAGGCTTTGACCTAAAGGAAGTGAGAAACAATTAGGATCCAATTCCCAGTGGCTAATGTAAAACTGCTAAAAGCGGGAACATTTCACTTTGACCAGCAGCTGGCCAGATGCCCCATATGCCCAATTGAATTTCCCTTGGCACAAATTCCAGATGCTTGGAATGGAGTCATGGGATCTGGTACGTGGATTGTAAGACTAGAGCAGTCAGAATTGGATTAAGATAGTGTGTGTAGTCTGAAATCTAAATACTACTAGAGGCTCAGATTATCTAGTTTCCACCCTTTGGTTCAAAGACAAAGCAGTGTCCATACTGAATATCGAGTATGATGAGTTTATGGCTGATTGGGGAATGAACATGTGGTATTGGTTAAGAGAGAAATAAGAGAGGGACACTCTTGAAAAACTTACCTGAAAATTTAGGAAGAGAGCTGTTGAGAGTCCCTGGTCATTTGTAGACACTGAACTTTAACCTGTAAGGTGTGTAAATAATTAGCTCCATGCAAACTTGTATGTGTGTGGGGCAAAGGAAATTAGGAAATATGGACCCAGCATATCTCCTTTGAAAACTGACCCAAACTAAGCAACATATACACTCATACAGTAGAATACTCTGAAGCTGGAGCAGGGGAGCAGCTTTGTATGTGTTGACATGGAAAAACTCTCTAGGATCTACAGTTGACTGGAAAATGCAAAGGTGCAGAGAAATGGGTATTACAGGAGAGAAAGAGGGGTAGGTAGAAGGAAGAAAAGTTAACATATTGGACAGATAAGAAAGTAAAAATAGTGATTGCTTATGGGGGGTGGAAACCAGGCATATGGGGAGCAAAGAAAGAGTGTAGCTTGATACCTTTACCCATTTTAGCTTTTAAACCACATGAACGCATTGCCTGCTCAAGAAATAAATTTGTAAGAGTAGCATTTGTTCACATTTTAAAGTAATGTTTGTTTTTAGAGTTACACTTTTCTGAAGAAAACAAATGATCTATTTGTTTGCCTTTCTCTCACCTTTTAATATAAAGATAATTTCATGACAAAGAAGAAACTGGTTACAGAGCATAAAGACACAAAAGATTTTAGATGGGACTTCCATTCAAAGAAGTCTGGATTTTGTGAAGCTGCATTGAACACTTCTGCTGGGAACTCAGATCCTTGTCTTCCTTATTCTTGTGAGTTGCCTTTATGTTATTTCTCAAAATGTACGTGTTCGTCAGGAGAGTACATGGGCAGAGCATCAAACTCTCAGGATGGTAGAAACCATGATGAAACAGTGGGGCATTGTAACCACAATGACTCTTTGCAGCAAATGCAGATAAAAACTTTTAAAAATTCAGTGGCCTGCTCTGGCGCACAGAAGGCGGTTACTGCTTCAGAGGCAGTTGACAGATTTATGCCTAGGACAACACAGCTGCAGGAGCGGAAGAGAAGAAGAGAAGATGATCGTAAGCTTGGAACTTTTCTTGAATCAAGCACGAGCAGTAATGAGGTTCTGATTGGGCCTCTGTTACCAGACATACCTAAAGTGGACATGCATGATGATTCATTGAATACGACAGCGAATTTAATTCGGAGTAAACTTCAAGAGGTAAGATCATTGAAGAAAACTAAGAGATGGTTTGGTTATAGGACTAACGCGAAATGGAGAAGTATTTATGAGAACTATAGCATTGTCAATTTTTTTCATTTTTAGTTTTATGTTTTCCTATAATTCTTGGTTGAATTAACTGAATTTGATTGACAAATTTATTTGCTTTGATACCATTAATCTTTGCCTCAACAAGAAACAGAATACTATGTTTTATAATGTGATTAAGGGTGGTGGTTAAAATAGCTTAATTTATTTTATGTACATTTTTTACCTGAAAATTATTGTCCGAAGGATAAGGGGTTGTTTTATAATAATAAAAATCCATGGACACAATTTTTATGCTTAAGGCTCATTTAAATTTTTTTTAGCTTGTTCTGGCAACCCTTCCTTCACATATAGCTGAACTAAGGCATGGGTACAGACACACAGCTGTCTCAGCCAGAGCTGACTGTATTTTCAAGAGAAACGTGTTAGGTCCAAATCCTAGGTATAGAAATAGTAGAACAACTAAAAGGAGAGATGCTAAATATAATTTACTACAGTTTTGAACAATTTTCCATTTTAAGTGAAGTCGTCTTACTTTGCTTTAACTTATTACCTACTCTTCTCATGATGGTTTTGATTTCATTTTTCCTAAGAAATTGAGGATCATACCATTTTCTCATTATTTCTTCAAATTTTTCATCCCCTCCCCCCCCCAAACCTCCATGTCTCTATATTAGACATTACCAGTGTTTCAGGTTATGCACGAGGATAACTATCTGTATCCATAAAATAACAAGTGACTTCGGATCTATAAAGAAATATTAAAGTGGAGCATATGTTTACTTCTCACCCCTCAAAATTTTTTTTACATTAAATGGCTTTAGAAATTTCACTCCCATCAAGGTTTGTACAGAAAATTTTGCTCTGTACCTAGCTTGTAGGTTGTACCTTGAACTTGCGTTAGCTCTGCTTCAAATGTGATAGCAAGGATTGGACTACTAGATATATATCCTACATCTTCTGGTAGTTTATTTACTCTTTTACTATAAAAATTTTTTCTGGTTCTCTTTTTTGAAACTAGGTGGTTTCATCTGTGCCAAAGCCTCCAGAGGACAAGCTAGAAGATGTGCATACAAGTCATCCATTAAAACAAAGAAGAAGAATATAAGATTACTAGTAGCAAATTAAAATTTTCTAAGAGTATTTATTTTTTATTTTTAGCCTGTCATTTTAATTCTTGAAGAGGTTGTACTGCTGTTTTTTTAATGCACTCCTCTTTGTAATTTCATTCAGGCTACTTGTCTAATTTAGTTTCATCTTTCAAAATTAGTTTATTGTGACAAAATACATGCCAGCCAACTGTTTCCCTTAATAGAACTTTTGCAGAAACTCCACCCAGTGACTTTAGTTACACTTTATTGGCTAGAACTGGGCCCATGACTGTTCCTAACTGATGAGTCTGGAATAGTGAATGTTTCAGGTTTCTAACTTCGGTGGTTTAGGAAGCAAGAGAAAAGAGGTCTGGGAATGCCTGACTCACAGTATGCCACAAGATCCAAGGTCGCTGGCTAACTTAAATAAATAAATTAGCTTATCATTACCTATTATAGATGTTATTTTGATCCATACTTAATATTACAAAAACTGTTCTTATGACATTACCTCTCATTGCAGTAACTATATGTGAACTAACTGAAGGAAATAAACATAGGCAACCAAGATCTGTTTTTTATTTTAATGCAAATATTGAGTGATTTACATTCAAAAACTAGAAGTCAGGATGTGTCTAAATGCCAGGACTTCAAAATCAAGACAAATCTGTAAAGTAAAAAGGATAATAAACTGTTAGAACAAAGCTGAAATTAGAAGCTTACATGCTTTAGTTAACTTGTAAGAAGTATTTACTTGATCTATGGCAGAAACAAATTAGAATTTGTAAATACTAGACTTCTACCACTACTTATAGTACACCCACATTTATTTTTCTCCTATTAGTAGACCACACAATGGGAATCCATTTATGTCCAGGCTGTTTCCATATTGTTACTGATAAAAATAACTGGCGAAGGCCCATACCAAACAGCATCTGTTTTCTTTTCTCCCTGTCCTTAAGAGCCTCTGCCTAGTTGAATTTGAACATATCAGTTAAGAAGGCTCATCTTCATTTACGACTTACTGATCCAACCTTGTTAGGAGGGCACTAAGTGGTGGATGGTCTTAATAGAAGCTGCAGGCAGGGGGTTTAGCCCTAGTTCCTCATAAGGTAATATATTTCTGCTGAATTCAGGTAAAAGGTACATTAGAGACCTCAGCACAGAATTGGAAAGAATATATTGCTGTCTAGATCTGGCTTCTCAGACTTTAAGGCGTTACGAACCTCCACCTCAGGGTCTTACTGTAATTCTGATGGTGGTGGCCAGTGGCTGGCAGGTGGCAGGAACGGGGAGTTGTTTAATGGGCATAGAGTTTCAATTTTGCAAGATAAAAAGTTCTAGAGATTGCAAACAATGTGAATGTACTTGACTAAACTGAATACTTAAAATTGATTTGGATGGTAAAGTTTATGTTAGATGTATTTTACCACAATTAAAAAAAAATTCTCGCCAGGCCGGGCATGGCTCAGTGGTTGAGCATTGACCTAGGATCCAGGAGATGGAGGTTCGATTCCTGGTCAGGGCACATGCCCGGGTTGCAGGCTCGATCCCCAGTACAGGGCATGCAAGAGGCAGCTGATCAATGACTCTCATCATTGATGTTTCTCTCTCTCTCTCCCTCTCCTCCCTCTCTCTGAAATCAATAGATATATTTAAAAAAAAATAAATTCTCTGACAGTTCTAAAGGGAGGAGCTGCTAAGTGGATTCTTTGTTCTTGAATGGATTTCTGTTCTGTTCTGTGTGTAGAGGCCAGTATTCCTCCCCAACCCCACCAACACACGTAATATAGTATTTGACCATGATGAGAGAAAGAAAAGCTTTCTTGTATCAGGCACCAAAAATAGATTCTGATTCAGTTGGTTTGGGGTGGGGTCTGAGATTCTGCATTTCTCATAAGTTCCTAGGTGATCCATAGCACTAGAGCGCTGTTTCACCCATCAGTCTCTTAAAACGAGAAGTCTGCCTTTTACACATTGCGTTTTACCACACATTTCCAGACAACAAAAATGTGGGAATAGCCCTGGCTGGGTGGCTCAGTTAGTTAAAGAATTGTCCCATAGGCCAAAAAGGTTGCAGGTTTGATTCCCAGTCAGGATACATATCTAGGTTTCAGGTTTGACCCCTGGGCAATGGATTATGTCTCTCACTCTCACTCCCCCCCTCTTCTCTTTCTAAAATCAAACATATCCTCAAGTGAGGATTTAAAAAAATATGGGAATAAACTACAGTGGGACAAATTAAGAGTGGATGAGCTGAGATGGCTAAGGATAGCTTAACATGTACATTTGTTCATAAAATCATCTAAATTACCACAGAATAAAAAAGTTTCTTCAAAAAAGAAGTGCTGTCATGTATCACGTTTGCAAAGCATAGTTGCTGAAAGGCAGAATTAAAGAAAATGTTAATGGTCAAATAAATTATTAGGCTGGCTCTTCTAGCTCAGAAAACTTTTGTCAAATCCAAACATGAAAAAAACCTTTATGACCACAAAATGCTCCATACGTGTCCAAATTTTTTAAAACTTACTTCATTCTTATTTGACATTTGGGTTGAAAGACATCAAGTTTTCTCCTAGCAGTTGCTGAATCTACTCTTTATTCACGGTTCTACTCCTTAAGCAAGCCCAATAAACCCTTGTCCTTTTAAGGAAAATATTAACAGACAGGAAATCAGGACTTGTGTACAGCTGAAGTTATAAGCTGAAAAGAAAAGTCTGAATATAATTAACTTAAATAGTCATTACTGTCTTGGTTCCTGAAGCGCTAGGATGGGGGCTGAGCCTTCTATGGCTGCCTAAACTTCACAGTGAGCTGAAGCCCTATAGAGGTGAGTATCTAGCAAGTGTTATTTTTAGATCCTTTAAAATGTTCCCTCAACCTTTGGGACTGTCAGCACTGTACCTTTGCTTCTGGTAAACACTGTCCAAACACCTCCAACAAAAGTCTCTCTTCTTTCACTGCTTTTTCAAAGTCAGCAAAAGGTATCTTGCCATCGGTGTCATAATCCTAGAGAGAAAGATGGTTTCTTGATAAATGATTGTGTAGTTTTTAAATTTTGCATGGAAAATAACTACCTAGAATAAAAGGTTATACCAAGTAAAACTAAGTTCACATTTTGTAGGCACTACCTACAAATTAAAAAGTACTTATTTAAGGAGGCCACTTACTTTATACTTAATTGTATAGGCATCCCTGGTATTTGGGCTGAATGTTTGTGTCCCTTCCCCGATTCCCAAGTTCACATGTTTTAAAACCCATTGTGATGATATTTGAAGGTGGGGGCCTTTGTGAGTTAATTAGGTTTAGATGAGGTCATGATGTAATTAGTATTCTGTTAAGTAGAGAAAGGGACCAGAGCTCCCTCTCTCTGCCATGTGAGGACATACTGAGGAGGTGGCTGTCTGCAACCCAGGAAAAGAGCCCTCACCAGGGAAGTGAATCAGCTGGCACCTTGATCTTGAACTTCCCAGTCTCCATAACTGTAAGAAATAAGTTCTTGTTGTTTAAGTCACCCAGTCTATGGTAATTTTTTATAGCAGCCCAAGCAGATGAACACCTGAGTTACCTTATACCAAATATAGCCCTATATTCTAGACAAGACAGACAAAAAATTAGAGGAAGCCCAATATTATATTGCTATTTTTGTGATAAAATAAGTGCCATAGGCCAAAAATGCTCAAGCTAAATTTTTAGTAGTAAAACTTGTTCCTGCCCTAGCCGGTTTGGCTCAGTGATTAAAGCGTTGGCCTGGGTTCGATTTCAGCCAAGGGCATGTACCTCAGTTGGTCCCTGTCCCTGGTTGGCGTACATGCAGAGGCAACCAATCGATGTTTTTCTCTCTCTCTCTCCCACTCTCTCTGAAAAGCAATGGAAAAAATATCCTTGGGTGAGGGTAAAAAACCCCAAAACACCTATTCCTAAAAGGACCTCTTTCTTGGGAGCTCATCATGCAAAAAGGAGAGAAGTGCAGTTGCTCAGTTAAGGAACAAGGCACTGGGCATTAGAGCACTAACAGCCCAGGATGGACTAGTCAGGCAGACCATTGCTAGGCCTTTAAGGATGGTTGGGATCTAGACAGGCGGAGGGGCGTGTGGAGGAAATGCAGAATGGCCCAGCCTGGATTATGACAGGAAGCAGGAATGTAAGTCAGGAAGAAGAGAGACCGGCCAGAAGTACAGCATTCATGACAGGGACTGTGGGTGATTAAATCATGGGGATGGGGTAGGAGGTGTGGAGATTATGAATGCCTTTAACTGCTTAAATGAAATTTGTATTTGATTTGATGGGTCCTTGTTTTTTTTCACTTCTGGGCATAACTAAGTCAGGGTTGCTGAAAGTCTAATTTAGAGAAAGGTGGGAGTAATTGTGAGAAAAAGGTTCACTCGCCTGGCCAGTGTGGCTCAATGGTTAAGCAATGACCTAGGATCCGGGAGATCAAAGTTTGATTCCCAGTCAGGACACATACTCAGTTGTGGGCTCAATCCCTGCTAGGGGGCATGCATGAGGCAGCCGATCGCTGACTCTCTCCTCATTGAGAGAGTTTGTATCTCTCTAAAATCAATAAAGATATATTTTAAAAAAAGAAAACATTCCTTTCAAAAAAAGAAAGGGGTGGGTTTGGTATGAGGGAACATACTATCTCTCAAGAAGTCTACCCTGAGCCCTGGCAGCATCTAGTGAGAGTATTTCTAAAGGAACACAATACTCTGGAGTCTGTGTTAGCTGAGGCTGAGACTTGGCAGTCCACGTCATTTATTTCTTGAACTCCAGTGTAACGGGTGAGCCAGTCCTGGGTTCCCTTAGGGTCACAAATCTTCACTGGTACCCAGTTTAGGGTCAGAGTTAAGAAAATAAGAGAAATTACTATGTCCATCATACATTGATATTATTGATTTCATTGAAAGATGAATTCTGCACCCAATTTTCTAGTGTGACCTTGAGTAAACCTATCTGTACTCCAGTTTTCTCATCTGCAAAATAGAAATAATATTTCTACTTCATAGGGTGGTTCTGAGGATAAAACGAGTTCATATATTAAAGTTCTGTGAAGGGCCAGGCATATAGCAAGGACTATATAAAGAGCATCTTTTACTATTGTGTTATTTGTTATAATGAGAGTTTAGATGAATTAGAGTTTAGAAGAACTGGAAGGGGAAGGTCAGAAAGACAGACTAGAATAGCATCCAATTTTATACAAATTAAATCTGCTGCCTGCCTGACACAAGTAGTGAGGTTTTACTGATATTAAAACATTTTAAAATAAGAAAATTAACATTCATTTGGTATAGTGATTAATTTAATCGCCCAGCAATTACATAAGTATTTATTGAGCACCTACTATCAGCCAGACACTGTTCTAGGCAATGGACAGAGCAGAGAACAAACAAAACTCCTGCCCTCACAAAGGCCACATTTATTATGGGGGAAAATAATTTCTTCATCGTTAGCTTTAGCCAACATCCACTGGATTGGATATAATGAATTATGGTATTTCATTCTTACCATTTTCCTCAGTGTTATCTCTACCAACTCTTTTACTGCTTCATCAGTCTCTTTCTCAGATGACGGCTGGTGTAGACTGTTCCCCAGCATGTCAAATATTTCCTCTCGAGAAATGTAACCATCATTGCCATTCAAATAATAAACTTCAAAACAGACTTTTCAAAGTATAAGAAGTTTAAAGACTTAGATGAGGGCAGTTAAAATGTCATTAATCTTCTCCTTAGTTATTTCAATGTATAATAAAAAAGAAAAACAATTCATACAACCTACAATATTGGTCTACATGGTAAAGAGATTCTAAAATAAAGCACCCTTTATTCTATTTCTTTCTACAAGATTAAATACCTTCTTGGAATATGAAAAGAAAGATTTATAACTCCTGGGTTTTGAAATTGAGGGTTTAAAAATGTTATGAAGCTGCAGTAAAGGAGATACATATTTTTAAATCTTTGACCATACAAAACATATATACATATGTATGTAAAAATCTCAGTATTATTATTCTCTTCTTACATAGAGCACAAAAACTAAGTGCACATTTTGATACATCACCTACATTTTTCAGTGTATTTGGGTAGCGAGTCTGTCATCCCCTTGCACTATCCAAAATGACAGATCTCTCCCTGGAGTGACTTCCATCTCATGGAGTGAGCACCACCACAGTTCACTCATTCATCCACCAGTAACTTAGGTCCTGGGAAGACAGCAGTGAAAGGGCTCTTGTGGCGTTTGTAATCCAATGAAATGTTTTAGCAAAAGCAATAGAACCACATATAAAACTCCAGAGTATCAGATTAGCTGTGTGTTTTTGTTGAGCTTCTCCAATCTCTTGCATACATGAGTTTGCAACACAACCCTCCTGTAAGTAGTATTTCCTCCCAAATTAACATATCTTGAAATTTACATGAAACATTTTTAGAAAGTGGGGTTAGAGAAGGAAAAGTTTTTTGATAGTATGATGCTATTCAATCATGTACAGCTACTTTCAATGTCACAACCGTTTTCACCAGGTATTAGTATTACCACAAGAATTCACGTCCAAGAAACTTAGCTTTTCACTTTTCAGTGAGACTTTTGTACAGGAATGTTGCAGTAAGCTTAAGTGGCAGCTATCCAGGGTGGGGCAAAAGTAGGTTTTCAGTTGTGAATACTCGAAACACAGAGTTTATTCTTGTAGTATTATTTATTATTTATTGTATGATCTTCCATATGAATGTCTATAAACCTACTTTTGCCCCACCTTGTATTTAAATGTTATCCTGTAAAAAATTAGACTGAAGAAAAGAAGAAAAACCACAAAACTAGAAACAAAGTATAAATGGTCAAAAAGTTGGTGATTTTTAAAAAATGTTGCTACCACTTTTTAAATGTTTCATTTAGGGATTTTTTTTTTTAATCATCTGAGGACATTTTTTCCATTGCTTTTCAGAGAGAGTGGAAGGGAGAGTGAGAGAGTGAGAGAAACATCAATGTGAGAGACACATCAGTTGGTTGCCTCCTGGTTCATAGGTCGATACTCAAGCACTGACCCATGCTGGCGGGGCCTAATTTTATATTTTTTAAAAGTATTTAAACATTTACTAAATACAAAATGAACAAAATATATTACTAAGCCAGCAATCCCATATAGAATTCTTACACTTCAGCTTTTCTTCAAAAGTCCCTCGAAGAAGAAACACTGATAATCCTTTAACCCACTCATGTACATTTATGTAGTTATCACTGTCTTTGTCAAATGCAAAAAATACTGAAAAAAAGAACATGTAAGCATATTATAATTTACATCTATTTAACAATTCAAAAATATGCATGTATGAATAGATTTTTAAAATTTCCCTCCCAAACTGAGGGGGAAAAAGCGTTTTGGCACAATCATTCTTGAAAGAATCAGAATTACTGAAAATGTTTTCCCCAGATTTTTTTTTAAAATATATCTTTATTGATTTCAGAGAGAGGAAAGGAGAGGGAGAGAGAGAGATAGAAACATCAGTGATGAGAGAGTCATTGATTGAGCCCGCAACCCGGGCATGTGCCCTGACCAAGAATCGAACCCCGATCGCCTGGATCCTAGGTCGACGCTCAACCTCTGAGCCATGCCCGGACAGGCTTTCCCAGATTTTTATAGGAAGAAAAGAGTCATTCTCCTCCATAATCAATGATGAGCTTCATTTGTGATGTTTTGTATAGTGACTCTGAGCCAATAGGTCCAATGATGTAGCCAACATCAAGTGGTAATTTTTATTCTAAAAAAGTGGCAAAATTCTGTTCTAAAGAGTTTGTACGATGTCTAAAGGTAAATTACTAAAATAACACTATTTAAAAATTACCAATGACATCTTAATATTATCCTATGGAAAATAAATTATTATTGACTCTTTTGGGGTGATGAATATATTAATTATTTTGATTATGGTTATGATTTCAATGGTGTATATATATATGTGTATATATATGTGTGTGT